GACTCGCCCACCGACCACGCCGGCTTCCTGCGCAAGCGGGTGGAGCGTCACCACCACCATGCCCACCATGGCACCTCCTACCAGCGCCGCTGGTTCGTCCTCAAGGGCAACCTCCTCTTCTACTTCGAGGAGCGGGAGAGCCGCGAGCCCGTGGGGCTGGTGGTGCTGGAGGGCTGCACCGTGGAGCTCTGCGAGGCCGCCGAGGAGTTCGCCTTCGCCATCCGCTTCGACGATGCCGGCGCCAAGGCCTACGTGCTGGTGGCCGACGGGCAGGCTGCCATGGAGGCCTGGGTGAAGGCGCTGTCGCGGGCCAGCTTCGACTACATGCGGCTGGTGGTGCGCGAGCTGGAGAAGCAGCTGGAGGAGGCCTGCACAAGCTTGGCCGCTTGCCGCAAGTCTCCGCGGAGGTCCTCGGGCAGGAAGCGGCACCTCTCCAACCCCGCCTTGCTGCCCGTGCAGGAGAAGCCCGCCATCCTGGAGAACGGCTACTCCACCTGGGGCAGCGGCCCCGAGCGCGATGGGGGGCACTCCAAGCCCCCACCTCTGCCTCCGCGCCGGCGCTCGGCCGCCGGCAGCCCTGCGGGGTCCCCGGCGGCCGGCCTCTCGCCCGCCTTGCAGGAGAGCCCGGTGTCACCGGAGACGGCCTGCTTCGCCAAGCTGCACCACTGGTACGGGCAGGAGATCGCGGTGCTGAGACGCGAGTGGCAGGAGAGGCAGAAGAGGGGACACCCGTGACCCCGGGGACGCGGAGTGCAGCGTGCCCGCCGGTTTCTGGCAGAGCAGCGCGAGGGATGCTGCCTGCCCCCTTCCCTCGCCGGCAACCGGTGTGCGGCACGTGGCTGCCTGCGTGCTGCCTGGCCACCCGGGAGGGACGTGTGTCTTCCCCAGGCCTTGCCTGGCATTTCCAGCAGCGAGCCTCATCCTCTTTCCACCGAAACAGCCGGGCTCAGTGCCTTCCATCCTGGCACGGCAGATGCAGCGTTTTGTTTGCCGCCTCTCCTTCGCCAGTTGCTTTGGTTTTGTTTCTCAGCGTGGAGATTTGCACAGGTCAACATTTATTATAGTCTGTGGTATTGAAGCCCACTGAAGCCCATCTGCCTTCGCTTTCTGGCTGCAGATAAGACTGGACTCTTACCAAATGCCTCCGATGGGCCACTTTGTGCCTCTTGGGCCACACGCAGGCCTTACGAGGACGCATTCGAGATGCTGTGGCTTCGGCTGGCCCAGGAGCCATGGCTCACCTCGACGGGTGCTCACTTTGGCCTGGTGAAGCAGAGTGGCTGGCAGGGGCTGCCACCCCTGGGGCTTCTGGCTGTGTGTCAGTGTCAGGCCCAGGCAGGTGGGACCCCATGGTGGGACCGTGGGTGGTACCAGAGCCTCCTCTGACCCTGAGGAGCAGCTTCCCCAGCAGGGTGGGGTGTACCAAGCCACAGCAGAGCTGTATTCACAAACATCATTGGTGGTTTTTTAAGTTTTCTCCTGTCCCAGCACCTCCTCTCTGCTATGTCCCTCAGGGTGCCCTCTGGTGTGTGTTTCACAAGCTTGTGTCTGCTTCCTGGGGCACCCAGTCTCCTCATCGAGGCTTATGGGGACAGCAGAAGGAAACACGGAGCTTGATCTGAAGCAACAGCAAGGATCAGGAGCTCATCGAGTCCGGGTTGGACTCTGACTACCTAGTGGTAGTCAAGCCTATTCGTTTCTCTGGCTCAAGCCTTCCCTCTTACAAACCAGGAATGCTACAGGCTGTTTGTCTTCCCAGGGGTGAATTTATCAGGCTCTGCACCGACTGTAGAAAGTGCCATATAGGGCTCTGGCTGCTTGCTCGTCAGATGCTGGAGACAGAGTCCAGAGCTACGCTCATGCAAGGCCTTTCTTCATGTTGTGGCTCTGCCAGGTGCTCTGGGGAGCTGGGCAGAGCCACGTAGCTGGGGAAGAGGAAGGACATCAGCAGGCTCTGGAGGAGTGGGGTCAAGGACAGGGGCTGGCTGCAGAAGGCCCAGAGGTGCAGGAGTGAGTGACCAGTCACTCCCTGGCCCTGTGTGTCAGCAGTGTTTGGACATGGCCTTGCGAGCGTAAAAGCCGTATCCTACCAAAGCCAGACCCTGACCTGCTGGGGCTTCCCTCCAGTATTGTGTCAGCTTCATGGGGCTGATGGCAGGAGCACATCCCATGTCATTATCCACTAGGTCAGAAACCTTAACCAAAAGGCAGACAGTACAAGTACATGGTGCTGAGTCTAGCAGTCCAAGGACTTAGGACACCCTGGAGAGGGTGTTTATAAATCTCCTCACTTGTCCTCTTGGCAAGGGCTGTTTTTTCAAAGGAGAAGAATATATGAGACTATCTTGCCTTCCCCATGATCTCTGAAAGTGTTAAACCTATTTTTATTGCCCTGTTCCACAGGAGTCTTGCTAGGAAAACGTTGCTAGTCTGTTACAACTGGTAGGTACCCATGCACCTTTCTGGAGCTGAATGCGCTCAGCCTGTTACTTTGCAGTAGCCAGTAGAGATTGTCAGAGGCAGAAATCAAATGGCTTGCATTAACTTTCAGTGCCTTTGGAAATGTGTCTTTGGTAGTTTTTGGTGACAAGCTTCCTGCCTAGTTATGGCTTGACAGGATATTAGCATAAATCAGATCTTAGATCTGGCTTTGGACAGTGGGAGTGTGACCTTCACATACAAATGGTGCAATCCAACCCCCTCTAGTTCATGTCTGTATTTCTTCATAGTAGTTTTTTTCAAGGTTGGTAGGAATTTGTTGTTGTTTTACTTTTTAAGTGAGAACAGTAAGGAGAAAGGAGGAGCAGAAGGGCCGGGAATAGGTCCATCAGGAATGCTTGTGACTCCTGAATCCCGTGTGTGTGGCAGCAGCATCAGAGCTTGGCGTTACCTGGTGCCTCTTCATTCCGAGTGGGGGTATTTTGGGGCCAGGATCAGGTTTGGTGAGTGCTTTCTCTCTCCCTACCCCCATTCCTATCTCCCTCCCAATACAGAGAAAATATTCCTGGTGCTTTGGACTTACATAAGGAAGTTTGACGGTAAAGATTTAACTGCCACAATAAATCAAAATGTAATGGGAGTTCCTACATGAGACCCAAGAATCAGGAATGACTTAAAAGTGAAAATAAATTAACAAAGCCTGTCCTGTCAGAACTGGACCTGAAACAGTATTATTCATTTAAGAGCAGTTTCACTTTTAAGAAGCTTAGTTCGTTTAAATAAGCCAGGATTGCACTGGTAACGCTCCTAAAGAGCTTATATTTAATGCTTTAATCAGTCCCATTCAAATCACACAATTTCCACGCCACCTGGCTTTCCATTAGTACATACTCCAACTAAATCCTAAATCCTGCAAATGAGGAACTGAAAGAACTGAGGAACTGACAGAAAGGAGAGCACCCCTTTCTGTCCAACTGCATTTTAGGTAATTTTATGGGGTTTTCTACAGCACTGAGAAGAAAATGGCAGAATGTTGCAAAATATTTGTGCTTGGCCCAGCAGTCTATGCATGGGCATTGGTTAGGACTTCAAAGTGCTGCGTGACTTTGGATGCACACGGTCAGGGCTTCCTCTCAGTCCCCATCATGCCCATTACATAGCAGGGCCTGCCCTTTCATGACTAAAAAAGAGCCATAATCGGAGCCATCCTCAGATTTGTATGCGCCTGCAGATTTTTCAGCTGCCCACCGCCACTCGCTTCATTAGGCAGGGAACACCTAGGTGCTCTGAGACATCAAACCAGCTCATCTGCGGATCAGCTGTGCTGGCTGTGCCTTCGAAGCAGCCCCCGGGCAGAAGGTCGGGATTTCTGCTTCCTGAGATTGCACACTTACCTGCCTAATGGACCGTGCCTCTCTGTGTCTGCAGGCAGAGATCATTACAGGAAAAGGAGCGAGTTTTCGCTGCTCGCTAGCACATTGTCCCCCGCAGCAAAATGAGACTGATTGCCACACGTTTTTCTCCAGTCTTTCAGGTCTGGGCTGCTTCGCTTCCCACCTTCTCTTTCCTTATTATTTTTTAAAAATAGAAGGTGTCTGAGCAGCACAAAACAGGAGCCTTAGCAAAGGGGGACTGGATGTTTTGAAGCTAAATGGCTACTTTTCTTTAAGTACCGAAGGCAACATTTAAGAATTTTCCTTGGAATAATAATGCAAAAGTGATGAGAGAAAAACGCATGTATCTGAATGCTTGAATTTAAAATAGTTTAAAGACTGAAAAAAGGGAGGGAGATTGTGACAGTTTTTGTAAGCTTTGCCAAGAAGGGAACCCAAACCTGTTAAAACAGCTGGTGAAATCCTTATACTTTCCTGCGGATGGGATTCCACATTCAGGCCCATAACACATTGTTTTATTTGCGCACATTTATCTTTTTATGAAACGCCTGTTGTGATGTTTTCCACTTGACCTGGAGCCAGGTCCTAGCGATGAGTAACCCGAAGCGTCTACCACTGGCTGCTGCTTGCCATTTGGGACATGTGTGACTAAGCGCGGACAAATGCTTTGCATTACAAGTTACCGCATTCATAGTTTCGGGCTTGGTCACCCCCGGGATCAGCCCTCGCTGCCTTCATGGAGGAACTCGAGCAAGGAACCCAGTGAAACGTGCCGGGATCTGTGCAAGGCTCCAGCTCCAGTGGCACCTTTGCACCCTGCACAAGTAGCGACACTACAAGCAGCTTGCGGAAACACTCCTGTCTCCTGCAGAGCTCACACCGCCAGTATTTAGCGTGTTCTTTCTCAGAAGCGAGTTTGCATGCGCCTTTTGGATTTTATATTTTTATTTTTGAACGTGTGTGTGTGACGCATTTCAACCCTGTAACCACTTCTATTTTACGCCGGCCAGCCGAATAAACCACTTCGCGTTTGTACCCCGCCTCAGCCGCCTCAGCACCAAGCCCTGCCCGGGCCGCGCCTCAGCGGGGCCGCCATGGGGCGGGCCCCGGGGCGGGGGGCGGGGGACGGGGAGCGGGGCCGGGCGCAGCCTCGCGAGAGCCGCGGGCCCGGGGAGGGCCCGGGGGTGGGGGAACGGGGCGGGAGCGGCGATGGCGGCGGCGGGCGGGCGGCTGCTGGCGGCGGCCGCGTCCCGCTCGCTGCGGGCGGGCTGGGCCGGGCTGGCGGTGCCCTGCCGCCGAGCCACCGTCACCCGCAGCGGCGCCATCCTGCCCAAGCCCGTCAAGGTGAGGCGGCGGCGGCGGGATGGGCTGCGGGAGGCGCGGGGGGTGGGGGGGGGCGGAGCGGGCCGGTAGCGGCGGCCCCCTCCCGGCTCCTGTCCCGGTTGTCCCCGCAGACCCCGTTCGGGCTCCTGCGGGTGTTCAGCGTGGTGCTCCCCTTCCTCTACGTGGGCACGCAGATCAGCAAGAACTTCGCGGCGCTGCTGGAGGAGCACGACATCTTCGTGCCCGAGGACGACGACGACGATGATTAAAGGTGAGGGCGGCACCGGCACCGGCAGCGGCACTGCCCGCGATCCCTGCTCCCGGAACGGCTCTGAAGGATGCGGCCGTGGGTAAAGCAGAGATAGCAGCAGCTGTGTGGCCTCCAGCTCCAAACATCGCTGTGCTTCGATACCGGAGTGGGACAGATTGGTTTCTGAGCGAGAAATCCCCTTAGCAAACCGTCTTTGGAGATCGACTGATCGTGCTGTAGATCTTGACCTTTTAGATCGTGGCAATTGAATCAGAAATAAAGCAGGCAGTGAGGGATGATATGGGCTATGCTGCAGGCCTGAAAGGGGGACATTGCTGCTGGAGTGTTGTTAACGGTCACCTGTTCGATAGTCTGCTAGCCCGTGACTTTTAAATGAGAATCACAAATTGTATGAAATTCTGGTAGAGAAGTGAAAAAACTTGAGAATTCCTGAGCTCAGTAAATCAAACTGTCGTGTGGGTGCTGATCGCTGGAGTAGTCTGACCATTCAGACAAAAAAAGAATGGAATAAGTCACCTTTATCTACAGCACACCACACTCTCTTGTTTGGTATTATTCCATTTGTAAAGATTTAGTTTGTGTGTATCTTAGAGAATTCATCAGTGTTGTTTTAATGTATGCACTGTGCAGCGAAAATCAAAGAGTTAAAAGGTTGCAAAGATCGCAGTGGCCTGTTAGAAAGCCAGTTTTCGTAGACCCCCACCTCACGTGGTTTGGGGTTGTATGGCCTGGAGCTTGGTGCAGTGTATCTGAAAAGTAACGTGGTTTTATTCTATCCACAGAACCACAGTGGAAGAACAGAAGGGAGGAGGCCAGTGTGAGAGAAATGCTTCCAACATTTGTCACCTGCATTTTGTCCTTCCTCAAGGGGACGGGGGTACTGCATCCCCTTTGCCAGTCAATGTCCTGCACGTGCCCGTGTAAGAGAAATCTGTAAATCAGGAATGAAGGAGGCACTTGATGGGTTCTGCATCCTTGCACACACACACTCACCTCATAAAGGACTGCTTGGGATTCCTTTTATTCGCAATATAGGAAATAATTAAAGAACAAGAGATTGAGATGCTTGACTTTGTTTCCGTGTTGGTTATTTTTTTTGTAGATTATTTCCTATGACCCAGTACTTCTGTCTTAACCTTTCTACCTTCCTAAGTCTGTTCCAGTGGCAAGGTTCTTTTCATATTTTTTTTTTCCTTTTAGGAGTCTTTTCTGCAATTCAGTCCTAATCAGTGGAACAATATAGGATCTTAGAGGAAGCAGGAACCCCACAACACAGCCCCTTTAAAAGAATGGAGTTCATATTGACAGTGGCACTGCAGTTCAGATAACGTTCAGTGCAACCTAGCACTGTGCAGGTATGCCCAATAGAGACTGGCGCATTAATTTCACCTCTCTGAGGATTAAATACAGCATTACCAGTGCACACTAAACATTAAGTAGGTTTGGTAACGTACAAAGTTGAGATCATGAGCAGCAAACTAAGGTGATGCTTTTCATAGCACTTAATGTGTGGACCGTGAAACTCTGAGTGCGCTGGCTCCAAGTACTTGTAATGCCTAGGTAGTTCATTACTTTTGTGTGAGTCCTGATACATTTATTTTTTTAACTACGTGTAAACTTCAGTGTTCACCCTCTTTCCTTATAAGTATTTGCTTTTGCAACTAAATAATCACTTAATAGATTCACAAGGTCTTCTCTGCTGCTGGTATCTTCAGTCTCATCAGACCAGTTGCATGCCAGCTTGACCTTGAAAGGTCAAAGTCAAATGATTATTTCATTAAAGCCAGACACATTACTGGGACAATGCTTTCTCATGGTTTCTGGCCACTAGATCTGGCCTCCTCTTAACTGCCCACTTCTCCCTTAACAGCTCTCACGTGGGGATGAAGGTGCCAGAGTTTAGGCAAGGATAGAAGTCTGAAAGCACCACAAGGATGCAGTGCTGATCACACATGGGAAAGCTCCCGCATGGATTTAGCTACTGAAAATGCATTCTGACTGGCAAAAGAACAAATTTTCCTTCCTCTTCTCAGTGGCAAACTAGTAACTCCTGACTCAATTATCGAGGTGATGGTAGGACACTATCTCCTGCTAGGCATCACATGCTCTCATGGAGCTTCCCTGTTGCAGACAGCAGTACAAAAAAAAAAATTTTCCAGGTAATTTAATTTTACAGCAGGGAAATGGACTCTACTGATCTCTTCACTGTACAAAGGGCTTTATTGGCCTATTGGATTGTAAGCCATTCTCTGCTAGAAGTAAACAGAGAATAGTGTCAAAGTGAAAAACAAGGTCAACACAGTCATGGCATGAAATTGTGAACACTGCAGGAACACATATGGACCTCAAGCACAAAACCTCTGCAACTACAACAGCTTTTCCAAAGGCCCACTCTTGCCTGCTCTTTTTTCCAAGGAGCTCCCACCCACGTGCAGGGTGCAGGCTGAGCAGACAGCTCCACAGCCCAGTTGTGCTGTGGTTTTTCAGCAGACACTCAAGAAAAATGATGAGACAAACTCTACCCACTGAAAATATGCGCTGGCAAAAACTAAATCACAGCTCTGCATAGAGATCATTAATGACTTGTGCACACGCTGGGTTCAGATTTAGTCGTTAGGCACCTAGGCTGCTATACAGTCTGTCTGTACAGATTTTTTCTGTTATATAGAACTTTATTTGTAGTACAGGACAGGAAGACACAGAGTCAGGCTGTCTCATGGGTCGTGGCCCGCATAGAATTTGGACATAAAGTCTTTAGGCCGTGGGGTTTCCGTCTCATGGAAATACCTCATGACGTGAGTCTTCTGCTTCCATACGTGAATGGTTTCTTGAAGATCCATTTTTCCCTGTTTATAGACAAGAGATACATAATAATGCGAACGATTTTAAGAATATTATAATAACCAGGCTGCCTGGAAGTTTCACCCACTGGCCTATTACCTTGAACTGTGTTTGCAGATTTTTTCCTTTATTTAAGGATAACCTAGATGTCTTGAAATACAGGAAATACAACAGGCAAGCATGGCAGCTCTTGGCTGGAAGGTTTCTAATGCTTTAAAACTGCAAAGGGCAGTTATCCTTGCTCTGGCCTCCTCTGAATACTTACCCTACTCTTAGCACTCTGAGGAGTCCTTCAGACAGACGGGTCTCAGGGCTAGGACACAGCTAGATACGCTACAAGATCAGGGTGTGCTGCTACCTATGCAAACCCAAAGCCGGCCTCCCACAAAGTATGGCCACTCTAATGTTTGTTTTAGAATCAGTTAAGGAAAATACATCCCTATCTAAGGAAGTGCTGTAGGGACCAGAAAGGTCGTTTTTAGTGATAAGCTAGCAGCAGCATCTTTGTCCTTTTCTTTGATTGCTGCTGCTTCCCCTTTTAAAATCTGCAAATTGTCACGACACCAAGTGCCAGAAACGCACGTTCTATCACCCCTGCCCCCCGAACACACCAACACTGCTGTCCTGCGTTAAAAACGGGGCGCTTCCCCCCCTGCCCCCCCGGGCCGCACCTTGATCACCAGCATGTCGATCACCCGCGGGTCCGTGACGTGGGCGTTCTTCACGAAGAGCTCCCGCAGCTTGTCCCGCGCCTGCCTGACGGTGATGTCCAGCTGGTAGAGGTGCACTGCGGGCACACCACAGGATCACGGCCCCGCTCCCCCCTCACGCAGCCCTCACCCCGCCCGCCCTCCCGCCGCGACCTTGACGCGGGGCCGCCTCCCGCGGCTCTCCCCCGGCGCCCCCTCACCCGTGTTGGGCACCTCGCGGTACCAGGCCCGGTACAGCTCCCGCACTCGCCGCTTGGCCTCGCCCAGGTCGCGGCTGAAGATGGGCTTCACGGCCGCGGCCCCGCGCCCCGCCACCGCCATCTTGTCCCCACCGCCCCCGCCACGGCGCCGCAGCCCCGCCGAGTGGCCCCGCCTCCCCATTGGCCGGCCGCGCCGCCGTTCTGCCCTCTGATTGGCCGAGAGGCGCTGGGGGGCAGGGACGGCGGGGCGGGCTCGCGGAATGGCGGCCGGGGCGGGGCGCGGGGGCGGCCCCTGAGGGAGGGAGGCTGAGGGCGGGCACGGCCGTCAGGGGGGCGGGCCGCGGGGGCTCTTTGGGTCGTTTTTATTCCCTTTTGGGACCTGTAAATGGAAAATATTGATGTGCAGGTCCCGCTGGAATTAACCCCTTAACGGTGGTATCGATGAGTGTTCGTGCAAGGCAGCAGCCTTCACAGAAATTACCGTCAGAACAATAAATGTGCACACACACACACAGCTTCTGAGTTGGTTTATTTTTTCTAGGTTGTGGTTATGCACACAGGCTCCTTCATGGTAGTTACTGCCAGTCTGAACATCAAACCTTTATTTATTTTTTTTTTTACACAATTATTTTGTTAAGGATGAGTCTGAACATCGAGCCGTTATCGTTTTGCAAACCTCATGAAACAGTTGGTCAGAAATAACACAGGAATAAAAAAGAGAGCCAGCCCCGAAATGTACAGCTCACCCCCAGGCAATGCAACCCCACGGCTCCGTGCCAAGCCTGCCCGAGAGCTGTTTTTATGTAACGCTGAAGAAAAGCTGTTTGGAGGAGCTATTCCGATAGGAGATGGCAGGGAAGGGAGGTGGCCAGGAGCTCTTCGCAAATTGTTCCTAGGTTTGTTTGTTTGGTTGGTTTTCCTCCTAGAATTGGCAGGACCCCGGGGTTATCTTTCACCCCAGATACCTTCGTATTTCAGTACACAATAAGGCAGGGCTAATACTCTCCCAGTAGCCAAGTGCTCGGTAAACTGTTTCTGCAACGAGAGCCCAAAGTACAGCAGAACTGGTTTATTGGTTATATACGTCCTTGCAAATGTGACCATCACCTGTAATGTGCTATGGCTGTGTGATTCACGATCCAGGATGGGAATTAAGCTGAGCTATATACTGGGCTACAGCGTTCTTTACACTGCTAGGGACATCTGCACAGGTTTAGGTGGTCTTAAGTGGGACTTGGCATCATCCTGCCTAGACCTGCTGCATTTCTGACAGCACTTTGTGGTGGTCTCTGAGTGAAAGGGGAGTGGTGTGCACTTATCTTGGGATAGCTCGCAGCTTGAATGGGTGTGGGCATTTTATGAGGGCAAAGTAGCCATCCGTCCGTGGCCTGGGCTGATCCTCGGGGAGCATGAAGGTGAATTGCTGCAGGAGAGTGGTGAAGAAGATGAAGAGCTCCATCCTGGCCAGCTGTGCCCCCAGGCAGACACGTCGACCTGCAGGAAGGAAGCATCCATGAGAGAGGACATTAAACCACGCTGGAATTACTGTGGGATGAGCAACCTCTGTGTGCAGACACAAGACGGAGCAAAACAGAGGATCAGAAGCTGCTTTGCTCAGGATGGACAGAAGGAAGAAGGTGAGAGTGCCTGGTTAACCATGTCAAAAGGGCCCAGGCACTCACAGCTAGTTAGACGGGGACACCCTGTCTGTCGTGCACAGCTTCATAGAATTATTTAGGTTGGAAGAGCCCCCTGCAGGTCACTTTCTTACCCCCTGCTCAAATGCAAAGAGAGAGAAAGAGACAACCCCTGGACTTCCCAGGAGGCAGATCACCAGCTCCTGCTGTGCACATGGCTTGCAGCTAGATCATCCCCTCAGATTTACCTGCTGAGAAAGGCATGAAGGCCTCCGGTTTCACAAACTGCCCGTTCACGTCCAGGAAGTGTTCAGGGTAAAACTCATTTGGTTTCTTCCAGACTGACTCATCCTTCAGCACGGAAGACAAGTTGGTGATGACTGTTGTCCCCTGCACTCCTCCACAAGAGGAAACAACTTACGTGAGAACGGCAGAATTATCCTGGCGAGGTGGATCGGTGCTCTTTAGTCTGTCTCTCCCATCTAATAGCAACCATCACTAGATGCTTCAAAGTATGGCACTGAGCTCCTCTTCTCTATCTTAGATATAGCGGAGGTAAAGCAGTGCACTTTTCCAGTGACATGCTGCCTGCCCTATGCACCTGAAGCGTTTGCACTTTTGCAACTTATATCCTTACAAAGGCCATTGCATGCAAATGCTAATTTCATGGTTATATAGTGGAAACAGCTTCCACTTTACAGATCCTTCTGGACTTACTTTGTAGCTGGGGAGAAAAAGCTAACTGACAGACTTCAAAGCCCAACTTTCACACATGGAAAATGGCAAAGCTTTCTTGTTTCCCGTGTCAATGTTTTAAGCTTAGTGGAGTTGCTGCAACGCTGAAAAAAACATCCCAGGCTTGTATTGCTACCAGCACTGCCAGGACAGAGTGCTCTTGATTCCCGTCACAGTGTCAATGGACCGAATGCCAGTGGCAATTGAATAACTTCAGAGATTTAACTACTGCCGTCTCAGGAAAGGCAGCAAGCTGGTCTCATGTGCCTCCAAAGAGCCTGTCAAGCTGTCCCAGTTTCTTTTTCCAACTCAGGCAGTGAATGTCACAGCTCATCGAGAGGAAAGCGAACCTTTGCACTGAGCTGCCACTACAGTTGGGTTCCCACATAACTAGTGTAAACCTAGAGCACAAACGTGCCCATCTGTCTGGTCTTAGCATTTCAATGTTCAGTGCTTCAGAACTTGGCAGTGAGCGTGATTTGGGGCTGGAAACACAAATCTGCAAAGCTGTGTGGGGTCACCCACACCCTAAGCCTGGCATCTGCACAGGACAGGGATGCTGCATTGCCCGTCTGGCCGTGCTCACCTTGGGAATGAAGTAACCCTGAAGCTCGGTGTCCCGGTATGCCATGTGAGGTAGCCCAACAGGAGCGATGTCCCCACAGCGCTGTGCCTCGTGGATCACGGCATTGGTGTAGGGCATGTTCACTTGGTCCATCATGGTGGGTGACCTCTCTCTTCCAATCACCATATCAATCTCTTTGTGGATTTTACCTGAAAGCAGCACAGCCGAGGACTTAGAGCTCCCTTAGCTAAACAGAAGGGGCTGGTACAAGCTGGAGGAAAAGCTGGCAGCATGAGCTCAGTAGGCACTGTGTGAGGGTAGGACAAGCAATTACAGAGAGGAACAGAAACTACAGGGGAATGCCTTTTTTCAGTTGCTCAGAAAAACAAAACAAAACAAAACAAACAAACAAAAAAAAAACAGAACAAAAGAAACAAAACAAAACAAAACAACAACAACAAAAAACTCTGTTATTTTTGCACAGTGTCTTTATAAAGGTCTTGGCACTTGACATGCTACCTTACCCCTCCTCAGTGTAGCTGGAAGTGTACTTCTGCAGGCAGCATTTGAGCGTTAAAACAGATCAGCAGTTTATTCCAAGTCTAGGAGGGAGGGTTCCAAGACCACTGGAAGTCCCCAGGTAGCCTTCAGTGTGAAGGAGAGTGAACTGCCCTTCCAACTCCAGTCTTTTCATCAGGGCTTCCCCACTGCCACCACTGGGCCTGCCAGAGCAGCTGTGTTAGGGGAAGTGTTTTCTCCTGGTTTCTTCTAGACCAACAATCACCAAACCTGCTTCTCCTTGCAAAAACCCCAAACCATGAATAGGAGATGTTGAGTGTCCTTACAGAGAAATGAGGGCTGAAGGGGACATACCGCACCTCTGCCTGTCCTCTCACTTACTCTGTGTTCCTGGGTGCAAAAGCATGTAGAGAAATGCCCACCGGAGGGTGGCGGAGGTGGTGTCAGAACCAGCTGCAAACAAGTCTGCGGTCACCAGACGCAGGTTGTTGTAATTGAAGCCATTCTCTTCAGCCTCCTTACCCTGCGGAGAGCAAACAAGTGTGTGATAGGAGCAAAGACACTCGCTGGTGAGAAGACCTTCTCTCAGAGCAGTGCTGAGGAGCGCTAGATCCACTTTTGCTGACCAAGAATTGCATTGGCAGAGAAAAGCACACCACAGGCAATGGGCTGTGTGTGACTGATGGGCTCCAATACCGCTGTTACCAGAGTATTTGAAGGTCATCAGTAACCTCCCACAGCCTGCGAGATGAACATTACTCCTGCCTTCAGGACAGAAGTAAACACCTTGCGCTCCCAGCTCAGCAGGACACTGCCACTTACTACGGCGTCCTCCCCCAGAGGAGGTGGAACACTGTTAGTCAGGCTTGATCAGATCATAAAGCCCACGCAGCAGCGAGGAGGCCGCCTTGATGCAGCAAATGCAAATTAACAGCATTTTGAGGGGGCTATCTGTAGCTACGCATTACAGATTCTCACTGCTTCTGCCCTGGTGTTTTCTTATGATCAGGGGGGAAAAAATCAGGGTATCATCGCTGCCTATTAAGTCTGCAACACCAATTGCAGCAAAACTGGTCTCTCATCCAAATACTAATTGAGCTCAAATTTGCTAGCATATGAGATATGACAAGCTCTCTGCATGAGTTCATCTGCTTGTCTTTTCTAATCCTTTTTATACTTTTCTTTCCTAGGGACTAGCTTCTGCTGAGTTATTCTGCATGTTTTGATGCTGTTTTAACACGGATAGCAATTAATGAGGCATTTAAGTCTCAACTGTTATTCAAATAAAAGGACTCTGGCGAGGGAGCTGTGGGACTGGCCTGACCGAAGTTAGCCCAGCGGAGGGATTTATCAGACCAGGCTTCTCAGGGGACCTCAGTAAGCAGGAGAGGGATGTGATAAGAGGGAAGGAGGCCAGGCTCAGTCCCTCCCAGTAGAAATGCTCAGTGCAGAGCATGTTAGGTCACGTTGCTCTGCTCTGCTCTAAAATCAGTCGTTAAGGCACTGACAAACACGGGATCTTGCATGTCTGACTTCTCCGCCACTGCAAACGTAGACATATTAATGAATTCTCAATTATTGACTTTTAAATGTCTTCAAAACAGGTGTAGGCTGGAAAGCAGGGAGCTGCCAGACACGGAGGGAAAAATGGAAGTGGAAGGTGAGGGCAGGAACATCAGCAGATTATGATTTCTGAGGACAATCAAGGAGGGCACAGCATGAAGAAATTAATGCTCAAGATATGAAGTAGAATGAGGAAGTAGAAAATTAGTTAGTAATGGTCTTTAGAGAGCTTTATGTCAAAAGTCAGCTTTCATCAACAAGCTCAAAGAAGTAGAGGAATTGCTCCTGAGCTCTAAGGTTCTGCTGGTCTCTCCCTACCTTCGACATCTCCTTTAAAAACGCATCAGTGAAGTCTCGGGTGTGTTCAGGGTTCCAGGTCTCCATGTGCTTCTGTATGAGAACGTCTATGAAGTCCATGTATGCTTTTGCCCGCGAAAGACTTTCTGCGGCAGTCCAGGGATGCGCAACAAAATGGGCATCACATTAAGAAACTGGTAGGCCAGAACCACAGAGCAAGAGACAAGACATTACGAGATGCAAAAAGAAAAAAAATGAAAACACAGTGCTCTCCAGCGACAGAGGGCAGCCTCTTACAGAACATACCACACTTCTGTGTTACCTGAGTCAGGAATCCGGCTTCTTCACTCAGGGAGTTTTCAAACAAAGCTACCATTTTCCTGAACACCTCATCACCGTAGTCAAAACGCCCTCCATAGATGATGCTGCAGATCATGTTGCAGACTGCATTGTTTACAAGAAAACGTAAGTCGAAAGGGCGACCTAAAAACAGAAAGGGAGACCAAGCAAAGAGGCTAAGCAACATCAACCTATTGAACCTCAGAGTTCGGCTACAAGAACACACAAATACCTCTTAGATGTTTTCAAGAGAAAAAAAGAAACACACTCAAAGTACAAATACATCGTAGTAGGAAGAGACAATCTTCTCATCTCCTACTGTGGTTCGGTTGGTCATTATTTAAGGGAGAAAGTTCCCAAAGAAAAGCTGATTTGCAAGGTTGTTCTGCCACATGCCAAATAACACTTCTCTTTCACCAAACATCATAAAGGTAGCAGTTACCAAGCCTTGGGAATAATTATATTTTACCTCTGTTTATTTCTATTCATGTCCTATTTCAGATTGCTTAGCTTTACAGTAGCCCCAATGCATCAGGTAGAAGTGGCTTCAAGGCAGAGCAGGACCAGTAATTACGATGATGATGGACTTGAAACACTGCATACATATGGGAGTGGCTGCATTAGTACTTCTCTCTCTGCATTGTTCTATTGCCTTTTCCTGTTTTTGTTTGTTTTGTTTTGTTTTGAAGAGCAGTTTGCCCATCCTTCTGGATGTGACGTACCTTCTTCTGCTTTGATTGCAGAGCACAGGAATCCTGCTTCCTCAGGTCACTCGCTCCTCCAAGGATTTCTTTCCCATTCCAAAGTCCCTCAAGGTAGAGAGTGTGAATTTCCTTATCTCCTTCCAGACATGCCCGTATCTTGCTACAACAATCCCTGGAATTATGGATGAGCAAGAAATGTCAGGAGCTCTGACAAGTACATCATGCAAAGTTCACTAGAGAAGAGCAAATGTGAGTTTGGAGGTGCAGGTCTGCAGGGATAGATGAAAGGCTCTGATCTTGTACAGCTTATTCACACAGCCATTCTAAAAACTTACCACTGCGCCTTCTACCTGCCTAGTAAAAGTGGAGGGGGAGTGCAGTGAGAACTTGTGCCCGTGCCTGCAGGAAATGCCCATTTCCAAGGGCCGTACCTTCAGATTTATCTCCGTAGCCCACATGTTCATACGTTGGGAAGTACGGCCGGTCAGCAAAGTCATCTGCTTTGTGGACCAGGGCTTCCTTCACGGTTTTGTACCCATTCAGCACCACCACATTGGTCCAGCAGTTCTGCAGGCTGAAGATGTTTCCGAACTTCTTGTGAAACTGGCAAGATAAAAAAAATTGGTCCTGAAAGTGACCTCACACCCAATAGTGCCGGCATGTAATGTCCAAAATACCCCTGGAGCCTTCCTTAGGGCCTTTACGATTTAGGGGTTTGAACTGCTTTTATTAGGAGACCTTCAGCTGACCTTTGCCTGTTGTCTTTGCAGTGAAACGTCTCAAAGCAGTGTGAAACACCAGCTGAAGCAGGGAGCAATACACTGCATCTGGCAAGACTCAATATGCAGCTATCCAGCTCAAACTGCTGCCAAGAACATTGTGCAAGCATTTTGGATTTTGTTTGACAACACGAGGTCAAGGATCTCTTTTGGGATTTTCAAATAGTGCATGCTCAACAACCCGCTATTTCCTAATACTTGGATTTTGAATACCATGTGTTGTTTATCTGTCTCTGAAAGCCTAGGCAATTTTTGAGTTAGTTTTGAACTAGTTTTGAGTTCTTTCTGCTAGAAGGAAATCTCAATGATAAAGTGAAATGTAGTTTCTTTACATGCATTTGTTCCTAAAGACTGACCCAAAGCCCAGTTCCCAGGAGCATGCTTGGAAGAGGCAGCTCCATGCTGGAGTTTCAGTTCAACTTTTTCTCCCCCAGAGGAATGAACACACCTAGTAAGACAGGTAACTTGCACATCCCCTACATGTGCTGTGATCTATAAAAGACACGAAGCTGACAGCTTCAGGAAGCCAGGCTGAAGGTGCACGGCTGGGCAGTAACACTGAGCACAGTGCTCAGGAGCGTGCTGTTGGAAGGTGGGGTCGTACTAGTGATGCTCACAAAAAACACATTATTTATCTCTGTTTCCTTCCTTCCTTCCTTCCTTCCTTCCTTCCTTCCTTCCTTCCTTCCTTCCTTCCTTCCTTCCTTCCTTCCTTCCTTCCTTCCTTCCTTCCTTCCTTCCTTCCTTCCTTCCTTCCTTCCTTCCTTCTTTCCCTTTCTTTCCCTCTTTAATTCTTCATTTCCATACTCTGAGCAAATCAAGGAACTGAAATACTCTGAGTGTATTTGCAGTGGGATTGGAAAGGGAATTAGTACTTCACTGGCACTAGAAATACATCATTAAAAGTGATTACCGGTCAAGACTGCAGTCAGCATGACCCTGATGCGATTTGAAAATGGTAATCTTTTGGACTATATGAAGGCAAACAATACAAATGCTGTATTTAGTTTCTCCATTGGGTGGATTTTGGACAGACAGCTGAGCAGTGTTGTCCTAAAGAAAAAAAAGGCCTTTAGAGTTTGCAAAGTAATCTGCTGCAAGCTGTGCTGTGCCTTTCCCTCGGGAAAGGATAAGCCCTGACTCTGATTGGGAACGCTACAGACATTTTGGGCGCTGCTGCTGGGGCAAATCCCGTGAGCTGATCTCCTTACCTGGAGCAGCCCCATGCCTGTAGGCAGGCTGGAGTAACTCACGGAGAAGCCTGCCATCCCCACCGCCACGTCCCAGCCCTGCAGGGCTGGCACTCACCTTGTTGAAGGAGAGGTGCGGGTTGTTGAAGTCGATGTACGGCATGGTCCCGACGAACGGCAGCGACATGGGGCCTGGCGGGTACCGGCTCCACTTCTTTCTGCGCTTCATGAAATCAAAAACCAAGGTGAAGACGGTAAGGAAAACTCCCAGCACAGCAATGCTGCTCCAGTCAGATGACAGCCACAGGAGCAATGTCATTTTGCAGCCTGCCTGCTCCTCGGTCTTCCTCTTTTGACCCAAGACTGTTTCTGCCTCTCCCTTCTGCCTCCTTCTCCGTTCTGCCTCCCTCCCCAGGCAGCTGTCCCCTGTTCCTTGCTTCCTCCTGTCCCCTCACTCTCCTTTTCTGTCTCCCTGCTCCCCTCTCCCTGCAGCTTCTGGCTTGTGAATGTGGAACTTGGCTCAGTCCCGAAGCTCCTCCTCTGTTCCACTCAGCCTCGGGGGAGTGGTGATGAGGGTCATCCCTTCTCCTCCTCCTCCTCCTCCTTCCCCCCTTTGCCAAAGCTCAGAGGCCGCTTTGTCCTTGCGACAAAGAGGTGCTGGGGTGCCCTCAGAACAAGGAGCACAGCAAACCCAGTCCTGCTGCATTCTCATGGGGCGGTTTTGGAAGGGTTTAAGCCCGTCACCTTCTTGCTGATGCAGACAAGCCCAGGCAGACACGGATCCTAAACACAGGCTGTTCGGCTGTCTGCATGCAGGGCCAAGAATTTGTTCCATTGGAGCTTGAGTAAGCCCAGGTTATGTCAAGCTTTCCCATACAGAAAGCACGTAAGTGACAGAAATTAGCCTAAAACAATGACCTGAGACTAAAACCATTTATGGGAATAACAACCTTTATCCAACCCCAAATGTCAGTCAGTGCAGCAACCTTGATTTCGGTGGGATACACCTCAGCTACGAGGGGGAAGCACATGCAAACAGCCTTGCATTTCCAGCCCTTGGGGCAGCAGTAATCCAAACGCAATTATGGAGATAGTCAAAGCGTTTCCTAAAACAGCACCGCTCTGTGCTCCTGGCGTTGCTGCCATCGGAGATCAATAAAGCTCTCCATTATGACAGTTAGCTCGAGCTGAAGAGAAGCAATAAACCCATCACCGTTTGATCTGTGATCTCGGTGTGATCACAGAAAAACTCCTAATGGAGCAATTGCCGCGCCGGTGATGGAGAGCTCAAGCTGCAAAGCGATGAACCCACAAACACTCTGCAGTGATCTCTGGTGCAGAGCCAAGGCCTCGAAACGCCCCTTACCCGGAGAGGCACCGAAATGCTCGTTATTTGTGTGCAGAGGTCCCCTCTGCGGGGTCTGTACAGCACGGTCAGGGAAACCCTGGCACGTCCCTTGTGAAAGCACTGTGACTCAGGGCTTATCTCAGGCACCTGTAAACAAACATTCAGCACGGGAGATCAAGGAGAGCAAATCAGTGGAGCCACCTCAGGTAATCACAGGCCCGAGGACTCACAGGTGTACCGTGACGTGAAGGACTGTATGGTCAGGTGAACCTAGGAGTGTGCTGGAGAAGGCAATTCCTTGACACAAGACCCCAAAGGGATCTGCCTTGGAGAGCAGAGGGCCCCAGGAGAGCTGCTTGTTCTTCAAGGGCAGCCTCCTCAAAGCATGAGAGCAGTGGGTATCACTGATTACCTTCACTTTGGCAAAGCCTTTAACACGTCTTCTGCAGTACTCTTGCAGCTAAATCGGTGTGGTACAGACTGGCAAGGCAGACGATAAGGTGGGTGGGAGGTTGTTTGCTCCTTGGGGCTCAGAGGGTTGGAGTTGGTGGTACAGAGTCCAGCTGGTGGCTGATCACTAGCGACACATCATTAGCTGTCCCGGGGCTGTTAAAGTTTAACAAATTTATTAATGACTGGGGCAACAGGACAGAGAGCGCTCCTAGCAAACACACTGGGAAAGCTAATGAGTAAGAGGGGTCTGGATGCTTAAATGTGATCAAGGGATTTCGCTCAGACTCATTTTTGTGACCCACGCACACAGATGACAAGTGGAGAGATGGGAAAATGTGGTCTCAGGAACATGACAGACAGTGCCAGATCACCCACCTGGTAAAAGGATGTTACTCTTCGGGTTTCGATTTATTTTGAGCTCTAACTTTACAAATTTCAGCTGAAACATATCCACCTGTGTTCTTTCCTTTTTGCTTGTCTTGGCTACAGCTAAAAGCTGTCAGACTCCCATCACTCACCTCCGGGCTGCCAGAAGGATGGCTGGATGATGGGAATGCAGGCAGTGGATTTACTTTTAAGGCACATTGCTTTGAGAAGCCACCTGAAGAGCGACTCTCCAGCTGCTCTTCTTCCTGGGGCTTGACCTTGATGTTTGGGCTCCAAAGATGCAACAGCAATGTGCAAATGCAGCAGCTTAAGAAAAGATGCTCCTTCCCCCCTGCCATAGACACCATTCTAAATGGTCTTTGGGCAAACAATCCTTTCCTCTCCCCTCTTCAGATGGCAAACTAGATGGCTCCTCCACTCTTGGTTAGTAGCTTGGACTGCCTTGGCTGGAAAGGCCTGGAACGAGTGGCACAGCTGAGGTCATTTCAAAAGAACGATTTTCAAAACAAGCAAAGAAACCATAGGTAACACACCTCTGACTGAGAGAAAGGAAGAAAAAAGGGTAATGATGCTTTTGAAGAACAAAAGATGATCATTGGCATTTATTTGCAATAAAGTAGCATTTTGAGAGATTTTCAAATCCTGTGGGAAAAAAACTCAAAATCCATACATATTAATTTTATCTAGCTTCAGCCCCACTGTGTGCTTGTCTTTATGCAATACCAGTTAAGAGAGAAGCCGAGTGAAGACACAGAAGTTGTGTGTGGACATTGCTGTTCTCAGACTGGAGAACCCCCAGCATGAACAGAAAGCAAGGTTCAAAAAGCAGCCTGTTGGTCTTGCAAAACGAAGCAGCAAGAGATAACATAACGCCGGCATTAGTGTTGCCTGCACAATGTTAATTGAGATTTCTTGCCCATATTCACCATAAGATCATAACTAATTGCAATCTTTTGCTATTTTTCCTTCCTGAAGGACCCTCCCTCTGTTTACGGGATAGATGGCGAGCGTTTAGCAACCCTATTTTAAGTACAGCGTTTGGATTCAAAGCCTGTTTTGCTACCTGCTGGTCGCACCCCGCCTGGTGAAAGCCCCGGTTCCTGGGCAGCTGCCAGCAGCAGGGAAACGCTCTTCTTTCTCTCCTCCTTTGCTTCAGTGCCGGAGCCAGGAAGCAGCGGTCGCACGACGTGAATATTTCCTTGAGCTTTCAGAAATTTCTCACCCACATCCCAGCAGGCTGGCTGCTTTTCCCCTCGCACCGTTAGGTGGATCCAAACCTCAGCAACATTTCCTTCTGGAGAAGCAAAGCCCCTTGCAGAGCACAGCTGCTGGGTGTGATGCCTGCTGCCACTGCCATTCCCCAGCCATGCAGTGCTGGGGGAGACCCCCGAAACCCTTCCTCTTCAGCGGCCTCTTCGCTGGCCTTCTGCCCAGTCCCAGGGTCCTTCCTTCCCTCCAGTCCTGGTATTTTTGGTCCTTCTCTCTATCCTTTTTCTGGTCTCTTTTGCCCATTTTGACCTCGCTCTGACTGCTTCTCCTCCCAGATCTTTAGTGCTGGAAGGGGACAAGGGGGGAGCGGAGGAGACCGGCCTCGTGCTGCTCATCCTCCCTCGCCAGCCCCCAGCAGCCGGCGATAACCACCACCTGCTCCCTTCAGACAGCTCTGGGGGATTTGGGCTGAAAAAACCCAAGATCCCTATCCAGCACAGGCAGGCCGGTTTTTCAAGTGCTTGTCAAGTGGCCAAGTTTGAGCACAGTTTTAGGGAGCGGGTGCGATGTGTCTTCCTAACAGAAAGCCGCCTCCTGCCAAGTTTCAAGTGCAGCGCTTCAAAGCATTAAACCGAGAGAGGAAAAACGTCGCCAGAAATTTTTCTAGCGGGTTAGAAGGAGGTCAGGCAAACAATGGGTTTCTAAGAACGATGTCAGCCATTAGAAATGGATTAAAAATTTTTGGCTGAATGCTCCCAAACAAATTTAGCCGGAGGCACAACCCCAGCTTGGGAAATTTTAGTCTCAGTCGGTTCATTGTGACTGTCTTGGACTTCAGATAAGGCTTCGTAAATTGGAATTATTTGTACAGCTTTAAGACGGGCTGTGCAAACAGCTTGTTCATAATAAAGCAGTCAGCAGAACTGAAATAGCCAAGTCTTTCATAGTTACTGTTACTATGACTTACTGCCAGCCTTCCCACATTGCAAAGAAATCTGTTCTTCAGGCTTTTCTTCTTCAAATTCCCCTGGCTCCCTACCCTTTTTCCTACACCCATCCCAGCACATCACCTGTTACCAAAGCAGGTCTCGGTCAGGCTTTGCTTCTGCCGCCCATCCCCAGCCTGGCTTGGTTTCCACCAGGTTAACAGAGAGATTCAGCTCCAGGTTCTCCTGCAGGCTTCGATTCCTCAGGCCAGGCAGCTCCTGCCAGTGCCTTCACCCCAGCTCGGCACGGAGCTGATGGACCAAACGCTGCTGCCCGGGTCCCGCTCAGCCCCACGGTGCCGCTGGGCTTCGGGGAGGCTCCTGCCCTCTGCAAGGGTCCGGCAGCGCTTGGCCTGGCTCACGCTCCGCTGGGAAACTGTCAGCAAAATACAGCTTACGCCCCCGGCACCACGGCTGCCGGTCTGCCTCAGCTGCTGGGTTTGGTTTCTTGTTCTTTAAGCTTCTCAGGAGCCGTGGCTGTATTGTGTTTCTTTTCATTTTTTGGATTAGTGCTGATACCGTGGGGTTTTTTCTTTGCTGTAACAAGAGCATCCAGGGGAATTTTGGACGGAGGTACTGGCTAAAATCCTGTTATTAATTTTCTTGTAAAAGAAGCATTTAAATCCATATGGGGAAACTCATCCTGCTTTCCTAAAGAGTGAGATCAGTGGGACGCTTTTGAAAATAATGAGGTGATTAACTACAAGTTTGGCAGCCAAAGAGACAGAAGAACCGTGGTTTAGTTTCAGCCATCGATTTGAGCTGTGACTTAGAGGCAAGCAAGCAGCTAGCTGGCATCTCCGTTGCTGCTCTTGAAAAATGCATTTAATGGTGCCATTTGCCCAGCTGTGATAAAGCATCTGCAAATCGAGGTGCAAAGTACATCTGCGAGGCCTGCCACAGTAATTATTACACAGCAAAGAGGAGGGTTGGCAGAGGGCTCGGAATAGAGGTTAGAAAAGATAAAACAAAAGTTAATTCGAAGACTCCATTGCGACAGGAAACGTCCAACCCTGATCTTTTTGTTTTGGCATGGGGAATATTTCATAGGGAGTGCCCTGCTGCTGCTTCCAGGTGCTGGGGATGCCATGCTTCACAATTAGGCCCCCGGTTCAGGGACTGCTGCATCAAAACAAGAAGGGGAGCTAATCAGGCTAAAAGAGAATCGCATTTTTCTCCT